TTAAGATTCATGCTTCCTCCATCTCCACTTAGTTGCTGAGCTGTTAGTTGTGTCTAACATCGCTAGACAAGCACAAAGCTATGATAGGTATTAGTGTTCACTTTGTCCCAATCATTGACTTTTTGTCAAATTAACGATAAATCAGAACGAAAATAAAATTTTGTCTAGTTAAGGAAGGAAAATAGCACATCTCTTAATATTGTGACATTATTATAAGGAGGAGAACGATGAAATTCGAACCCGAGACTTTAAGGTTCAATAGCGGGACAATGACTATTAAATCAACTACTAATTTCATTTTTCAGTAATATGAGGTTAAAATAGGTGAAACCCAATGATGACTAGAGAGATAAATTTCGCATAGATGCCCGCTAGTATATACAAAACTTTTTCCTCCCTAAATTCTATTTTCTCCATAATTTTTAATTATTTAATTGGCCTTCTCCAATTAAATTTCAACATGTGACTTAAATAACTCCTTTCAACTTTTTGATAACTACTTCACAATTGAAATTCTCATCATCTTTATTAACTATTTTATATTTAACTTTTCGTAAAATATTAGCTTAGCATATAATAAATAAATTTCTAATAATGTTAGAATGGAGCACGATTAGGGCTGAAGTAGGAGTAACGAAGACGATGAAAAAATATTATAAATTCCGTGTATCACATGGGACGCCTGCTAATAGTATACTATTATAAAGTTATTAAATTATAAGATGGGATACTGATTAGGAAGATTGATATATAAAGAAAAAAACATTATTTTAAAGTTTTTGCAATAATCACAGTACTATAGGACCATGGTTTGAGAATTTGCAAATTTTTTTAGTGAGGACTAGGAGTGCCCAAGACCCACAAACTGTTGTAACCATCCATGCCTAGCCTGCACGCCTTTCATTAGTAATGCTGTAGTTTTTAACACAAAAAGTCATAATTTATAACTTACAATTATTACTAATACAATGCAGAAAAAACTACGTAGTCAAACATACTTGATCAATATAGCTTCTCAAAACCATCAGAATACCAAACTTCATCCCCTAGCAAGCAACAGTTTTACAAGAGTTCCCATGCAAGGCGTCACATTATTCAGCTGTAATCTTCTTTTAAGCATGTTTCCATTTTTGTCGGAAGATCCAACTACCATAGGGAAATAAAATTCCTCGTTTTGAATTAAAATAGCATCTATCACAAGCAAAATGCGATACAGAATAAATGAATATTGTGCTACCGTGGTAAATGATGAGGGGTGAAATTGTACCTGCTCATTCCAATTCACAAAAGCTATATAGATTCTTGATGTTTTGCAAGCAGCTCTCTTCATCACCAAGTACATATAGTTATTAGACAACAATGAGCTTCTTTATTACCAGAGTAAATAAAACCTTTCAGAAGAAGCTCCAGCCATATGCTCCTTTATTTTCTCTCTCTATATGTACAAATGCCATGTATAACTCTCCCTGCATTCCTAGGGTCACTCCTTCAATATTTATCAGTGCAGCTTCCAACCATCTGCATTATTTTACATCTTTTTTTTTTATCCTTTTCGGTTGAAAGACTGTCATGATTGGGACTTCAGTTGCTCAGCCTGGGACTTCAGTTCATAATTATTCTTTGCATCTTGGATAGCCGTTTGGAGCTCAGTAAACATCCTCACAGAAGACCCTGCAAAGTTATTCAACTGACCAAGAAAACCCACCAAGCTTGACCGAAAGGTATCAAAACCTGTCATCCAGTCCTCAGAAACTTCATCTCTAATTAAGCTAACTCCTACATCACTGTTGCTGCCAGCCTGCCAGGACGTCGAATTAGGATGATTCGCACCCTTCCCTTGGTTCTTTTCTTGACGTGGTAAGAAGTGGGCAATTTCAGCTGCCAAAACTTTCATAGAATCAGAAACTTCTTTAGTAGGCAAAGTACCAAGCTTGTCCAACCAGACACCACAGGTGGCATAGATGGGTGGGCCCAAATTTCTTAAGGGTGGAGGTTTAATCTTCCTTTTACTCTTAGAAGATTTTTGTGGGACAGACACACACTTGGAAAGCCACTTGTCTATACTTTCTACATATGATTTCTGAGCGCCAATCCACTTTGCAAAACTTGATGATAGAGAGCTCAGTTCATTTTCAAGATGGATGGTAATCTGCCGGTGTGAGTCCGACTGTATTGCAATTTTTGTGTTGGCATTGATATGGGCTATCAAGATGATGTGGAACTGAAGCTTATGGCATTCATACATCGCTTCCCACATCTTCCTTAACCTGGCATTGATAACAAGGAGGAATGGAAGACGCAAAATAAAATATGAATACATAATTGACGGGTATTGCTAAAAATAAGAGGTATGAAAATACACAACTCACACTAAGACAAGAACATCTGCTTGTTTCCCTTTCTTTGTATGCAAAGAAAACGAAAAAGACCATAGGTTTTCAAGCAAACCTTGGTATTTAAGATAAATTGATAAACATCAAATAATTGGTACAATCTATAATAAGAAATATTCATTGATGGTATTCATAGGGAAGCCACAGTCTCTCCTGAATATCTATGAATACTTTCTGCTTGTATCAAGAACAAGGTCTAATCAACACATGATCCAGGTGAGAAATCAGATTGATGAAGGATTAGAGGTGAAGAGAAGGAAAAGAAAAGAGAATAAAAAAAGGATGAGGAGGATCGAAAGAAAGAACGAAGGAAAAAAAGTTGGAGAGTGAATAACCCAATGTCCTAGCTATTCCACCTCGCAAGAACACATATAGATGGAGGCAATCCAAATGAAAATGAGAACAAATAAAAGGCGAACAAGCACAAAATTGAAAACATGAAACTAAGAAAATATATTTAGCCTAATTCAACCCTAATTCCGAGACTCCGCATTTTCTTGAACCTTTCATGCAGGACTTCCTTGACTAGCTAAGCTGCATTTCAGGCTGATTTTTACTCAAATTAATATGTCCGATGTAAAGAACAATGATCAGCATGGGTAACTTTCCAACTACGATTTTCGGTAAGTAAATTATCCACCTTTTAATTGGATCTAATAACAACCAGTGTAGCACAGAAGCTAAACCAGTATTTCAACTTGATAACTCTCCTCAACCCCTGTCAAAGGATTAACCAAAATTATTTCTCATATCATATGCACATGTTATACTTCAAGTTCATTAACATCAGATAAAGACTGAGGGTGGTGAGTCATGTAAGCTTGTATCTATGTCAGAGATGAAAAACTATTGAGTGTTCTATATCAATATTTTAGTAATGTGACCAACGATATCAGAAAGATACTGTGTGTTCTCCATAAGATTCAATATTGTGAGCAACCATATCAAATTTATCTAAATAAAATTTCTGACTGATTCGTCAGAGAGGAACTTCAAAGCACATACCCTTCAATCAACTCCTCCAGTTGTGGCTGAAGCTCTTTGTCTCTTAATTCCTCGATCTTCTTCGATATCGTGTCAATTCTGTGAATTGCAACTCTGATTCTTGAGTGCAGATCCTTGACAACAGCACGTGTTTTATCAGTCTTCTTGATACTTTCTCCATTTGATTCTTGTTGTCTAAGAAGTTTACACCTCCGATCATACTCCCCCCTAACCATCTTACTAGCCTGATATCAACAAACTTCTTTTAGGCATTACCTTTGAGAATCAGAGTAGTTCCACAATATATTGTGACATCTTAAAGTTTCTTGACTACTCGACAACAGAGGATCAAGTCTCAAATTATTGCATCCCATTCAAAATAACCATGTATGGTACCAATATGCCAGCTGAAGCATGATGTGATAAGCTTTAAAAAGTAAGTTACAAGAAGATTGAAATTCAGAATCAGGTATAGATTAAAATTCTTAGTCATAGAAATAAGAAAACATAAGAAATTAATTGAACTCCTAAGACAATATATTTTCGAAGTTAATAGACCCCACCTTAGCAGTATATTTAAAAACATTCTAACAACTTCTTAACTTAAAGCACTAGCCCAGGAAACATTATTGCTGCTAGATGGGGTATACACCAAAGTTGAAGGGCAACATTTTATTTTCAATCCAGATCTAATATGAACAGAAAACAAGATAACCTTTCACGGATGAGATATAGCCTTTACCTCAAAAGGGGTGTTCAGAAAGTAGCATCCTGTAAAAATTATCGTTAATCTAGGTTTTGATGCACACAATGTTACAGACAATCTTCAAAGAGGCAGAAACAAGAACAACGTTCAACAATTTCCATTTACTAAATAGTGAAAGTGTGAAACTATTATGATCAAAGCCACTGAATGCTCACATTTATCGTTTGATTGGCTTTTGAATAGACCCCAAAGAGGGACCATTTTTGAGAGAAATTCTGAAAGGTTCAGCTATATAATATTGAGAAATATGACCCGGTTGGCAAACAATTTAGCTGTGGCATTACAACCATATATCCTCTCCCCCCCCACAAAAAAAAAAACTCACCCACTAGCATGCAAAACAAAATAAAAGACCTAAAGAACACCAGCAATCAACCCAGGGCCACCGATGTGACCTAAGGGAGGTTATGTGGGGGCCACCAATTCGCAAAATAAGATGCAAAAGTAGTCTTTAGTTTATGGTATTGGTGACTAGGTGGACACCTGGACTATGCACAGGATAGATTTATGGCCCCCAGACGGTGTTGGAAGCTTTATACAAATACATCTTTACTAGGACGACTATTGTTTCTCCAAGTGGCAAGAGAAGGAACATAGCACAAAAATTACCTTCTACACAAAAACTAACAGAGATACCAAACTTTTGGTCTTTAATCACAATGCAAGAGAACAGACAGGACGAAGACTCACTTTTGCGTAAAGGAAGAAGCCAAACACAGAATGGAGACAGGGAGAAGCATTAGATAGTCCCCCATACCCCCCACAACCTCCTCCAATAGAATATGCTTTTGTAATTTGTAGTAGTACTAATCAAAAGATTTTCCTTTGAACCCCACATGTTATTGTTAGCCAAATTTTATTCTGGCCACAGAAAAATTATCCACAGCTTCATCCTGCACCATCCGATCCCCAGAACTCCATCACCCCACTACCACCTTGATTACATCATCTAATGCCCAAATCCCAAGACATGTACTGAATCAATTCAACATGGAAAACAGCCCAAGAATCCTAGGCAGACGTCATAGAGTTACCCAGTTTGAGCTAAACAACACTTTGACTTGGAAATATAGATTGCTGCCCAAAACAACGGTTTCACTTACCATTCATATCATCATAAAATGGTTAACCCCGTGGGTTTAGGGTTCATCAACTGTCATGTCTAGTATTCAGTTCCAAATAAAACACCTCAAACATTCAGGAATGAGAATACATAACACATAATAAATTGCAGCTGTGAAGCAACACATGTAAGGGATATATTTGCTCCAGAGATGAGGGCCGTGAAAAGTTAGACACGTCATATTGGAAAATTCTGTGACTGCGCACATGAACAGATGGTGAATCTCTAAGAATTGTTTGACTCAGCATTATATCCTTATTACTGCCAGTTGTCATCTTTCACTCACAAACCATTCTCCCTTTCAATACCACTCCTCGGTTATGCTTCTCTCAAAATTCTAACTTCGCTTCAATAGCATTACTCTCAGTAGACCAGGCCTGATTATGGTGCACTAACAATCTTCAACAAACAAAAGACAACAAACTTTTTCCTTGACAATGGGTTTTTCTTGTGTGTGTGTGTGTGTGTTGGGCAAGAGGGGGGGGGGGGGGGGCATGGATAACAGGCATTTGAGAAAATTGGATATCATGCATTTGAATAACCATTCAGATAAAAGCATGCTCATTATTATGGCATCCCAGTGGACAAAGTATCTTATGGAACTGTTTCGACTAGACTCATTAATATTAGATTTCAACTGTGAAGGGCTTCTCTAGCTGTTTAAAAGCATGCTAAGTTACTCAGAGCTTCAGGCCTAAACAATGAGATCAGACAGGATTTAGATGTATAAGAACTCAACAAAATATGTGATCCATTCCTTCAACCAGAACTTAGTGAAGCAGACTATGTTTTATAAACTTTCGAGCAAACATATCAGAAAATCTTAGACGTTTAAAGAAAGACCACCATAACTAAACTAAAATGGCAATACCTTGACTTCATCATACAGCTTCTTCTCCCATGCATATAGCCTATCCAATGTTGAGGCATGACTACCAGAGATCATACAGAAATTATCAAAGATATTACTGGAAAGGCCCTCAATATCATCTTTAGAGTTTGCACCGAGTGGATTTCTGGATGAAGAGGAGCGAGATGACGTGGTCCGATGCCAAGTTAAATACTTTACGGAAGTTTGGGGAGGCTCTAAGCAGCAAAAACAAAGGATACAATGAGCAAACTCTTGTATAACAGTAGAAAAAGTGAGCCAATGTAAATTAGTCTAGAAAGGAATAGATGCACTCAGCAACAGAAGATTTGCACCATATAACAGTGTCAAAAGTATCTGACTTAATATCTACCTAGGAT